GGCACCGGTACAACCCGTTGCATTCCACAGCCAGGCGCGAACGCCATCCACTAGTCCGCCGCAAGTATGGAACTTTGGATTCGGATTCCCGACATATAATTGGTCATATCCGAATTGACGAGCGAACCGGCACGGCAAATAGGGCTCCAAATAGCAGCGCTCCTTTACTCGGAAAAGGAGATGGCCTGGCCTTATGTTCATGAGCCATCTGAAACAGCCGACATCGAGAGAGGTCCGGTCAGTACCGGGTGCTTCTACATCAGCAAGCATCCCGCTATATCTACCAGGAAATCGAGGAAGACATGGGTTGATTACCCAACCCTTGTGCATGTGCAAACTCTTCCTGATATCTGAGAAGGTCCGAGTCGGCCATTTGCACTCCTCATATAGTTGTAGCAGAGGGGTAGACAGATCTGCACTCTTAGGAGGCGACATCAAATCGGGGCGATGAAGAACTAGCCATCCCATCAAATAGGTATAAGGGAATTCCGTCTTCGGCATAGGGATCTTCGCGGATGGGATCTCTTCAGTCTGAGTGAAAGTGGTGGTCAGTTGGCGGAGCCCACGATGAATACCGGCGATCATGGCTGGCAAGAGAGATAGGCTTCTCCCATGAGCAAGCTGAACAGCGGGAAACAATACCTCAATCGGCAAGGCATCTGAAGTTTGATACGGCACCACACATTTCTTCAACCAAAGTGCAATATACCCGGCCAACAAGGTCTTAGGATGGATGGATTTCTCCGCCTGCAATAAGAAAGTCCTGAACTTGGTTCCTGCACAAAATCGATCTTGGGCACTTGCGATGGTATAGGAGCGGGCGTCGCATTTTTTAATTAACATGTCAATCTCCGAACGGGCCAGCGGTTCCAGTTCACGAATAGCTTCACCAGTTTTCTCCAAGTTCTTAAACAAGTAGCAAGAGAATTGCTTTAAGCTTACTTGAGGAGATTTCTTCCTCGCAACAGGATTAGCGCCAGCTAAAGCAATTTGATAATGACACGTGAGTTCCCATAAGGTGTCATATCGGTCAGGCTGAGAAGAGATACAGCCGAGCTCTTTTCACGCTCTTCGTCAATACATCTTCTCGAGCTATCCTCGCATGATGCCGCGATGCAATCTGTCTTCAGATCCTCTCGACCGCAGGGGACGGGTCGTTAGCGCCATGATCCATTTGCAGGCATAGATATGTGAGCTCTAAATGAACGATCAGTGTTCGGGCGATGAGACTTGGCACCGTACACCCGTCATTCACAGCCAGGCGCGAACGCCAATCCATATCCCGGCCGCAAGTAATGGGAACCTTTGGGATTCGATGCCCGGGGACCATATAATTGTCATATCCGAATTGACCGGAGCCCGAACCCGGCAACGGGAAATAGGGCTCAAATAGCAGCGCTCACTTCTCGGAAAGGAGATGGCCTGGCCTTAATGTTCATGAGCCATCTGAACGCCGACATCGAGAGAGGTCCGGTCAGTAACGATGCTTCTACATCACAAGCTCCCGCTATATCTACCAGGAAATCGAGGAAGACATGGTTGATTACCCAACCTTGTGCATGGTGCAAACTCTTCCTGGATATCTGAGATAGTGTCCGAGTTGGCCATTTACACTCCTCATATAGTTGTAGCGGCAGAAGGAGTAGACAATCTGCACTCTTAGAGCGACATCAAATCGGGGCGTGAAGAACTAGCGCATCCCACCCATCAAATAGGTATAAGGGAATCCGTCTTCGCAGTAGGATCTTCGCGGATGGGATTCTTCAGTCTGCAGTGAAGTGGTGGCAGTTGGCGAGCCCACCGATGATACCGCGATCATGGCTGCAAGAGAGATAGGTCGTCTCCATAAAGCAAGCTGAAGCACGCGGAAACAAATACCTCAATCGGCAAGGCTCTGAAGTCTGATATAACGGCACCACACATTTCTTTCAACCAAGTGCAATATACCCGCCAACAAGGTCTTTAGGATGGATGGATTTTCTCCGGCCTGCAATACAGAAAGCCTGAACTTGTTCCTTGACAAAATCGATCTTGGCACTTGCGATGTATAGGAGCGGGCGTCGCATGTTCTTTAATTAACATGTCAATCATCCGAACGGGCCAGGTTCCAGTTTACCGAATAGCTTCACTCAGTTTTCTCCAATAGTTCTTAAGCAAGTAGGCAAGAGAATTGCTTTAAGCTTACTTGAGGAGATTTCTGTCCTCGCACAGGATTAGCGACCAACTATAAGCAATTTGATAATGACACTGAGTTCCGCATAAGGTGTCATATCGGTACAGGCTTTATGAGTCTTCAACTTTGTGAGCTCCTGATTGGAGGAAAATATCCCTGATATTGGGCATATCCCCCCCAACTGAAGTCGGAGACTTTGTGCATTTTCGTGAATAGGTAATCCCAACTCTCCGTTCCGTTCACAAAAGTGTTAGAATCTGGATTATACAGTTCTATTAACCGCCAGGAAGTGAAGGAACGTTCACATTAACCCGTACTGAGTGGCTTCGAATGGCTTCATACAATCTTAAGACGTTTAACTCAGCGCCCCACAGCGGTGGAGGACATAAAATGTCATCCGACCACCCCCCCAATGCTTTGTCTGAAAAGTGAGACCAACCAAAGCATCGATATTGTCGAGGCAGTTCACGGTCCTATATCAGCAAGACGATTCTGCACAGTGCGAGCTATTATAGGCCACCTCCCATTTAGGCGGGTCCTCCAATCGCCATGCACACCGAGGGTGTAACCCTGTAATATGCTTCTGCCACGAGAACCCGGAGTGAGTAACTAGTGGTGTATCCCGCAGAGATATCTGGGTATGGTCCTCTGTTAGGTCACGCATGCTGTCGCGTCACCGCTGCCCGCGCAATTTTCTGTAGTGAACGGTGACAGAGGGAATGGAGGGAATATAAGCAGTTATGCCGTCACTGTGTAGGCCTACCTGCTCATACCACAACTTATGACGATCGGGATCTGTCACAGAACGGCCGAAACAGGTAATGGGTCCTTCTTAAAGGATGATCGGGATCTTATCTCAGCAAACGGGCGCGTCAGTAATTAATTGACCGCGTGATGCGACGACTTCCTCCGTATTGACTGGCAGAAATTCATTCGGGAGTCAAGGCGAAATTTGAGGAGTGCGCAGGATGACATGCGATTATGCACGCATATAATAGCTAACTCACTATGGCCATCTATGACTCGTATTGAGAAAACGGCGTTGCAGGATATCAACTGAAACAATAAATACGTGTTTATCACAACGCAAGTATGAAGAAATATTTTAGGTGACACAGGGGGTAGAAACTCTTTTCACCAATAGAGTCGGCTGTCTTGTAGTTGGCGAGACATTTTAAGCGGTATTATGAATTCACAAGATAGACGTACATTGACGCGTGACTGTACCCTATCTGTATGGAACGTAATACGGCCAGAATAAATCCGCCCCATATAGCCTTGAGACGCGTTTCGACCAAGCAAATGCGATCATACATCCGATAAGCATCCACCCCCACGAAGGGGCTATCAACTCTCCTCAACTACAGCCTCACAAAGGAGGACAGGGCGGGCGAGTAATAATATAGAAGCATCCACCCCCACGAAGGAGGGTATCAACTCTTCCCAACTGCCTCACCAAGGAGGACAGGACGGGGATGTAATATAGAAGCATCCACCTCCACAAAGGAGGGTATCAATTCTTCCCAACTGCCTCACCAAGGAGGACAGAGAGGGTATGCGATATGCAGCATGATATAAGAATTTTGAATTCATGAGCAGAAAATTACAAAGGCTTACCAGTGAAAGACAAATGCTCCCTCTCAGGTGACTGAGTGGCTGAGCGGCTCCTCGGGAGGCACGATCTCCTCGTCGACATGGCTAGTCTGCAATAAAGACCAACAGCTCAGTCAAATCAAGAATCAGAATGCATGAATCAAAGATTGAAAGGGAAATTGTGAATCTTTAATTGAAATTCTACAAAATGGAATTTTCCAATTAAGGGTCCAGTTAAACCTATACGACATCCTCGGCTCAAGTTAAAGGTCATAAAGACCAACCAAAGAACTCAGTCATGTATAAGTTCGAATTCAAGGCATATAAGGTTCTTGAGTCATGTATAAATTTGGATTCAAGGCATACACAAGTTGGGACTCAAGTTATTTCGACCACATACAAGGTTGGATTCAGTCGCATCGAGTTCAATCATGTATAAGTTCGAACTATGCAAGAGTATAATCATGTACAAGAATTCAAGCCCTAGAGTTCAATCATGTACAAGTTCGGACCATACAAGAGTGCGATCACATACAAGGATTCATTTATGCACGAATTCAGTTATATACAAAGCTCGAGTCATACACAAGCTCGAATTCAAATAATTCGGCCATGTACAAGTTTAGGCCCCACTCAAATACACATACAAGTTTGGGTCTAATCATCAACAATTAACCAAGAGTCAAAATTCGACCTCGACAAGGCACAAGTCCAAGAGCACCAACTCGAGAAATCAGTATTGCCACAATTTTTTAGCCATGAACAGTCCAAAGTTTCAGCCATCAATTTCAGGTTTTCCCCCAAAGTTCAAGAACTAAAGTTCAATTACCAAGCTAAAGATCACAGACACAACCAAAATTGAAACAGAAGCATTCGAGGTTCACCTGAACTCGAGAATAGCGTGATCTGAATTGAGAAAATCCACCACTAAGCAAAACTCGAATCTGAGGCAAAGAGGGAGCTGAGATCCTGACAAGAAATCAGAGTGAAAACCAAGTCAAATCGAAGAGGGGTGGCCAAAATCAAGAACAGAAATCTTAATTCTAACTTAAATTCGGAATTAGGGTTTCAAACCCCCTTTACAGTTGAGAACACAAGATGGAACTTAGCCAAAGCTGAGGATGACGCCTACCTGAATCAAAGTCGGCGAATTCGACGAGGAGAATCGCACCAAGCCGTCGAAAACCTAGCTCTTGACTTCGGTTGGAATAAAAGGATAGAGTGAAAACCGAGTCAAATTGAAAAGGGGTAACCAAGATCAAGAACATAAAGCTCAATTTGTACCTGAAATCGAAATCCAAGGCAGGAACTCCACCCGATGCTTAAGCTCGAACTCACGTTGGAAGAATCACAAACCCTAGGTTTTAATCTCCCTTTACTCGGATCCAAGTTGGAAGAAGAGGGGAAGGAATCAATGTGGAATTTAAAGGGTTTGGGGAGTTCTGATCTTGGAGAAGTTCTTGGATGGCTAGAACTCAAGGAGAAAAGAAACCGAAATTTTAGAGAGAAAGGAAAGCTGGGACCGATGAAGAAGGAAGAAGAACAAAAGAGGGAATCAGATTTTTTTTCTTTAGCCCTCTCCGACCCGCGTTCCGCGGGTCAGGTTTGTGTCCGACCCGCGTGCTCGCGGGTCGGATTAATCCGACCCACGATCACGCGGGTCGGATTCATCTGACCCGCGTGAACGCGGGTCAGACCCAGTTCAAGGCCCGTTTTGCTGTATTTTCGTCCGTTTTCGTCCGTTTTTGAAATTTTCGAAGGTTAACCTCATCTCCCGGACAATTTCACGACATTTTTTGGAATGTTCAGAGTTCGACCTCATTTCCCGGATAATTGAGCGGCATTTCCAGTCAGATTTAGAACGTTCAGAGTTCAATTTCATCGAGACCCAATTTTATATTTTGGGTGATTTCGTGATTTTTCACCTATTTCGGAATATTCGGGACCCAATTTTATATTTTGGGTGATTTCGCGATACTTTCGCCTTTTATCGGAATATTCGATACCCGAAACTCCAACGGGTACATGAGTCTAAACTGTTCCCCATTTTGACAGGAAGTTCCTAGAGAATATTACAAATAATAATTCTTAAGGATAACCTGGCAACCTCCGGCGGGTACACGAGGTTAAACTGATTCCCGAAACTCCCAGGAGTACACGAGTATAAACTGGTTCTCCTCAGGTTAACGCGAAACCCTAAGGTCAACGCCGGTCAACGCGTAGCCCTAGGTCAACGCCGGTCAACGCGTTGCGATGAAAGTCAACGCCGATCGATTCGAAACCCTAAGGTCAACGCCGGTCAACGCGTAGCCCTAGGTCAACGCCAGTCAACACGTTGCAATTGATCCAAAAGTCAACTCAATGACATATCAACAAAAAAATCCACTCACCAATTCCGGTTCAAGGCTTCAACAACGGTCAGACGATAAACGCAGTACCGAGAAAATCTTAGCTATTCGACAAAATACAGAATACGCTAAAATATGGAGAAGTCAAGAATCGAAACCATCTGTAGCTCCTTTAACACCGACTGAAGGTGGGGATCCATCATATCCAAAGCGTTTCAGACTCCTCTATAAAAGAATGAGGCTGAAACACTTTGGAGGGGGTATCTGTAGGCGTCTAAAATTGTCTACGAGAGCCCACACGAAACTCGAAGCAATGAATGGGCGAGTCAAGAAGATTCGTCAAACCAACTCGTGCGCGTCGGTCAAACGCGTGCACGTCAATCAACTCGTGCGCGCCAGTCAACGCGCGCACGTCGATCAGCCCGTGCGCGTCGGTCAACGCGCGTACGTCGAATCAACTCGTACGCGCCGGTCAAACGCGTGCACGTCAACCAACTCGTGTGCGCCGGTCAACGCGCGCACGTCAACCAACTCGTGCGCGCCAGTCAACGCGCGCACGTCGATCAGCCCGTGCGCGTCGGTCAACGCGCGTACGTCGAATCAACTCGTACGCGCCGGTCAAACGCGTGCACGTCAACCAACTCGTGTGCGCCGGTCAACGCGCGCACGTCAACCAACTCGTGCGCGCCGGTCAACGCGCGCACGTCAAATCATTTCGTGCGCGTCGGTCAACGCGCGCACGTCAACCAACTCGTGCGCGCCGGTCAACGCGCGACGGATCAATCCGACCCGCGCGAGCGCGGGTCGGATGATTCCGACCCGCGCAAGCGCGGGTCGGATTATTCCGACCCGCGCGAGCGCGGGTCAGATAGTTCTGCTGCGTAGTCTAAAGTCCCAAAACACGTTTTGACAGTTTTAAATTGGTTTTTTGCAGGGTTTATCGGTTCCAGGGGTTCTTAACTGACTTGAGATCATCCCTAAACGTTGTTAGGCTGCTGTTGACTGAAGATAGGGCCAAATCCCTTGTTCTTATCCAAAAAACCGCATTTTGAGGTCTATAAATATGAACCAAAGGCCTCCATTTTCTGGAGCTGGAATTTTATCAAGAGGACGAGGTGCTGCTGGATTGAAGAGTGAAGGAGCACGAAATTTCAGCAAAGGACAGCGAGATCCCGGCGAACTTCGGAGCAAAGGAGAAGCCGTTCGAAGGATCTGAAGCCCGTACGTCCGCTCCTTGAGATTAGGCTTTGTCTTAATCTCGAGAAGAGCCCTGATTTCGCTTTGTCGATTTCAGGACTTCAAGCAAATACCCCCTTGGTGAGGTAGAAGCTCTGTCCAATCTTCCATCAACCGGATCTGATTCGCGGTCGTCCACGGATTAACCCCGGCACCGGCAAAGAACCCACGCAAGCAAGATCTGATAAACGGATCTTGTGTTTATTTTCAAAAAAGTTGTAATCTTTTGTTCTTTTGTTATTTGAATTCATTTGTAACGCTTAAAGTTTAATGAAATCAATGACTAAGGTGACTTTCGACGGAAACAGACACCAGGCATGCACATTGATGATTTGGAGGATACAAGTACAGTAGAGCAGGATCAGGGACCGACGACTCAGGTTCATGATTCTATAGCAGTTCATGGACCCAGGAAAGACATACAGTTGCCAGCATGATATACAGATATAGTGGTTGCTTATGTACTTTCGGTGAAGAGTGTGGATGAGATGGTTCCTACTACTTTTAGAGAGGTTGAACAGTGTTCAGAGGCTAATATATGGTAGGTTTCTATGTAGTAAGAGATGGAGTCTCTTTACAAGAATGACACATGGGAGCTTGTTAAGCTTCCAAAAGGATGGAAGGCGATCGATTGTAAATTGGTGTATACCAAAAAGGAGGGCATTCAAGGCACTCCCGTGAGATTTAAAGCTAGGTTGGTAGCAAAGGGTTATTCATAGGAAGAATGTATTGATTATAATGAGGTCTTCTCTCTAGTGGTAAAGCACTCTTCTATTCGGATCTTACTAGCTTTTATGACACATTATGGATTAGAATTGGACCAATTGGATGTAAAAACAGTATTTCTTCATGGTGATCTTGATGAAGAAATTTATATGATTCAACCTTTGGGGTTTCGAGCTGCAGGAAAGGAAAAATTGGTGTGTAGATTGAAGAAGTCGCTATACAAGTTGAAGCAATCTCCAAGACAGTGGTATAGATGATTCGATAGGTTTATGCTCAGCAAGTCATACATAAGGAGCCAGTTTGATCCTTGCGTGTACTATCACAAGCTTTATGGAGGTGTGTAAATTTTTTTGTTGCTTTATATCGATGACATATTGGTTGTTTTCATTTCTAAATCCGCCATAGATAAATTGAAGATACAGCTTTCTAGCGAGTTTAAAATGAAGGATTTGGGTGAAGCAAAGCGCATTTTAGGGATGAAGATCGACAGAAATAGCAATAAGGGAAGAATTTGTTTAACACAGGTGGTTTATTTGAAAAAGGTGTTACAATGATTCAATGTTAGTATGGAGACGAAGCCAGTCAGTATACCTTTGTGAGCCCATTTAAAGCTTTCAGCTGATCTTTCACTGAAGTTAGTTAAAGATAAAGAGTTGATGTTGAAGACTCCTTATGCAAGCGCAGTGAAAAGTTTAATGTATGCAATGGTATGTACAAGACCGGATCTACCACACATAGTTAGCATGGTTTCACGATACATGCACGACCAGTGTCCTGGTCATTAGGATGCTGTGAGGTGGATTTTGAGGTATATTCGAGGTACTTTCAATGTTGATTTTATGTTTGAGCGGGACACTGGTGGTGGGCTGTTATGCATTGGATACGTAGATTCTGACTATACTAGAGATTTGGACAAGCGCCGGTCGACGACGGTGTATGTGTTCATTTCGACCCGTGTGCCGGTGTGTTGGAGATGCACCTTGTAGTCTATAGTTGCTTTGTCGACGACAGAGGTAGAGTATATGATAATTACAGAGGCTATTAAGGAGGCAATTTGTCTTCGAGGACTTTTGAAGGACCTTGGTGTTTCGCAGCGGTCTGTCACCATTCATTGTGATAGCATGAGTGCTATCTATTTGGTGAAGAATCAAGTATTCAATGCGAGGATAAAACACATCGATGTTTGTTATCACTTTGTCCGGGATATTCTTTAAGATGGAGATGTGAAGATTGTGAAGGTCCACACAAAAGGCAATCCAACAAATATGCTCACGAAGGTGGTCCTTAGCAATAAGTTTGATCACTGTAGAAACTTGTTGCAGATTTGTGCTTGTTGAGACCTGTTGAGGCTATTTGGATGAACTACGAGCGACTTGATCCCATGGGAGAGGGGGTACGTAGGCAACCACATTGGTGCAGCCGGATTTGTGAGACGACGTATTGGTGCTTTTATTGGTGTCGGCTTAGTTTTGGGGAACACTTCGCCGAGGTGGAGAATTATTGAAAAAGGCAAAGAATTGTTGGAAAAAAAAGACATGGAACAGGAAAAACTCTGGTCGGTCGACTGATAGAAGTCATCAGTCGACCAATACGTGCACACTGCAAGAACCGAAAATTCACACTGGACAGTCGACCGATGAATCCATATCGGTCGACCGATGAAGACTTACTGGTCGACTGATGACTTCCTATCAGTCGACTGATAGCGCACAAAATGGATATATCTGTTTCCCAATTTGTTTTGGTTTAGAGTTCTCTATATATTATATATAAAGGCACGTTTAGTTAGGGGTTTTTTATTAGAGAAAAGAGAGTTGTTTGAGCACTTTGAGAGGAAAATTCTGTGAGGGTGAGTGAGATCTTGTTAGTTAGGGTTATTGTGATTGTTTGAGAGTTGTAACCCATTGTATTTCTCCTCCATATAGTGAAATCTCCTCATCTTCTCCCCGTGGACGTAGGCAATTTGCCGAACCACGTATATCTCTATGTTTGTGATTGATTTTGGCTGTTTTATTGTGGATTGTGCTCGTGGAGTTTTTCGTTCGTTGCTTATCGACTCATTTTGGTTTGAGTCCGCTTCCGCCGGGCGCAACAAAACATTCATTACTGTCGGTAGTTACGGATAGTTTGCTCATGTTTTGATCCGAACTTGATAAGCGACACTTAACGTCCATGCTTCACTACAAAGGTGAATAATTAAGAATAGTTATATCGCGGTCCAATAAAAAGATCGTAAATGATCGAGACTACCTTTTACTCCAAAAGGTCACTCCAAGCAATAGAAAACTTGTTCGAAATAGAGAGAGGAAATGCTCCATAATATTAGAGCAAATATATGACGAGGATGCATATAAACCCACCCTTTTTTTTTTTGAAAAATAAGTGGTGCAAAGTACTTCAAAAGTTCAACTATCTTCACATACTCATATTTTCAACCATCAGTGGATTGCTCAACCAGAGGTCCCTGAACCAAAACGCTGCAGTTAAAAAAAAAGTGTAACAGTCGACATAGCAATTGCAGTAGTATCTCCTCTTTCATGCTTCCGTTCTTTTCTTAGATACTCCACCAACTTCAGTAAACCATTGTCAACATGGAGAATTATGGCATTATCTGTTCTCTCAATCCGAGAAGCCTTTGGAGCGCAAACGCTCCGCAATGACTCGGATATTGCAGGCAATACTGCCAATGTTTGCTTCACTGCTGGTCGAAGTCTTTGAAGAAAGGCATCGAGAGCTTCTTGCATCCAGTCATACCTGCATAGCTCCCGTGCTTCGCTGACGCCAACCTGTTTAAGCGGATAAGTTTCGGTTTACTGATTTTACCATCAACAAGTCACAGATTCAGACCTTTGCTTTTAAAACGGATGTTTTGTGTTCAATTATTTATCCTAATTAATGTACTTTCTCATTGAAATGGTCAAGAAAATTAAGGTTGTCTTTCTTTGTAGCGAGTCACATATCTTCAAAGATTTTGGTAGAGGTAAATATAATATTTTAATTTGAACATAGCTATCAATTTTCTAGTTTTCACAACATGACTGTTAGCATCTCTCTACACTGGGGCTCTAAAATTGTTACTTAATTCTGTTCTCTAATCTCCTGTTTTAATAGCGAGCCAAATATATTGGAGCTGATTATTATCTGGCTTGTTAAGTGCTCACCGCTTATAACCATATTATTCTCGCGCATGTTCTGTTCTACATATCAAGTCCCAGATCAGCCGATATAATTCGCTTTTTCAGTTTCACTATTTCTTATCCAAACTCCGAGTTATTGGTCTATCGTGATATATGATATTAAATTTTAAACATGGTATTATTATTATTTTTCCCTCAGGACTCTCTTCGGGTAGACTGCAATAAGTATAAATGCATCAATATTCCTCTCCAATGTCAACCGACAAGAAGAGTTTTACTTCTCTAACTCTGGACAAGAGAATCTGATGACATACCCATCGCCGATGGTGCGTATCCTTCTCCGGCCAAGACTCAAGTTCTTCGGTGACCTCCAGTGCGAACATATAACCTCTGCAGCCTCCCTCCTGGCTGCAACTATTTTGCTTACTCTTGCTTCGGAACTCCCACACCCCCAACTCCTTTTTCTGCATAAATATTCCTTTAGCCAACATATTTCGCTATTTACGTATAGACATTCAAGCAAAAGAAGTTGTTGTTTTGCAGGCTTACATTGATATTCCCCCTCACCCCGGCTTCCTCCACAGCTTCGCGGATTGCTGCTTCATGTACGGCCTCGTCATTCTCCCATCCACCCTGATAACCAAAATTATTCATATCAGATTCAATGTTTGTGCTAAAGTTGTTAGAGAAAACATGCGAAACTAACATGAAGTATTTGTTACCTTTGGGAAGACAAGATCCTGCCGATTTGGTGTCGAAATCATGAGGACTTCCAATTCATCATAAAGTGCTCCATTGCATCTCTCCTTAACATCATTTTTCAGTCTATAAGGGATGCACCTGGTAAGATCATTAGGTAAAGCAGGTGAGAATTAATCTAGGAGAGTTAATGGGAAACCATAAGAAGTTGAAAGACCAAAACAGTAGACAATTTCTAAGTAAACTAATTCATGTTTAATCTATCTCCATCCTATTCTTCATAAAACATTCAACATTGCACATAGAAGGAGGAGGGGAGGAGGGGAGAAAAGATAAGAGGAAACTAAAGACAGAAGACTGAGCATAATACCCTGCAACTAGCCTAAATTTGTCTTCATATCTCTGCTTCTCGCGTCCAACCCGAGCTTGTATACCATTACAAGTTGCCATGATTCAATTCAATCCAATATACTAGTACTCTGAAACAAAAACATACATAATATATCAACTAAATCAAAGAAAAAGAAAAAGAAAAAGAAAATAAGGAAGAAGTTTAAAAGACAAAGGAGTTTCATTTTACCTCAAGAACAAATACTTAGGAAATTAATGAATGCAAGTGGGCACTACTAATTTGGGAAGATTAGATATCTCCAGCCTTCACATGTGGGCTAGTTAATGCTCTGCTCCCTTCTTGAGCTCCACTATATAAATAAATAAGATGGTGGAATATCAAATATAATTTCAAGTGATGGTGAAGGTCATCAATGAGTTTGATGTTGTCATAAAAAATTGCGCGTTGAGGAGATTGTGAAGTTTCAAGGAAGGTGCAACCTTTACATGGGAAAGGATAAAAGGGAGGAAGAGATAAGCTTGGAATTTATACAAGAATTCTAATGTGTATACATATGTGGCCGTAAATTGAATTTAATAACAAGTTGGAGATTTAGGATGACAAAAAGGAGAAAAAGGAATGTCTACTCTTTTTAAGGAAAAAATAAGTGACATATTTTGATTATACTAGTTCTTGTGAACATGCATTGCACATGGTTAAATATTAAAATTGTTAATTTTATTTATTTTCTTACTATAAAATAAGTCAGATTCATTTTGAGTAAAAATCTATAAACATGGGTTGTTACATTTTCCATAAATTTTATTTAAATATTTTATGAAATAGATGATTAATTTTGAAAATCTCTTCGGGTCAGGAATAAACAACTAACAAGTTTGCAAGGGAAGATAGGGTAACATAGTACATTCTTAAGAATTATTAATCTTTACTTAGTTTGTTTATAATAATAGGATCTCATTATTAACTAACTACAAGGCTTAGTATATTTTTTTTGTTGGACGTTCAAGATAGGCAAAGGACTCATGTGAGTCCTCACCGTAATGAATGTTATACAATTTAAGTACAAAAGAAAAAGGAGGGTTGATCAATGGTGTAGTTGGTGAGCGGAAACTCCAGCAGCTTAATTTAGTATGTGGATATATAATAGATGGAGAATGATGATTTTGAAAATAGTGGGTGCGTGTGGGTAATTAATATAATTTTTGTTCGTGTGGTTTTCTTCGTTCATTTTTAAGATATTTGTGATCCTGTGGATATATATATAATGTGTAAATATTACAATTGGCATTGAGATTTAAGATATGTGTGAGATTCTCTTTGATTTAAATAATAAAGTATAATTAGACTTTGTGATCTAAAAAAATACAATATAAGTAATTGCTTTAAAAATAATCTAATCTAATCTAATACGAAGAAAATAGATAAAAACAATGTGAAAATTGTTGCAATTTTATAATTCATAATTTTAAAAATCTAATATAATATAATATAATAAGAAGAAGAAAAAACACAAAAACACATATATGTTGAAGGAGATAAAAGTGCTATGAAAATTATTATAATTTCCGATCTGAGAAAAAGATCAAACATACAATATAATTACTTGCTTTAAAATAATCTAATCTAATCTAATAAGAATAAAATAGACGAAAGTAATGTAAAAATTGTTGATATTTCTTGATATGAAAAAAGATCAAATATATAATATAATTAATTGTTTTAAAATAATCTAATTTAATCTAATAAGAAAAAAATAACAAAGGCAAATACATGTAGAAGGAGATGAAAGTGCTACAAAAATTATTATAGTTTTGGCTTATAAATATTGGTATGTGATGTTACATGTGAGAGGATAACAATTATAAATAGAATTCTATTTAAATAATAATAGTATAATTAACCTTTGAAACTAATTATGTAGTGTTGCGAACTACTTGAATTTTAGTTATTGAGAGATCGCCACGTTGTATCCTCATATCGCAGCCGTTTATTTTAATTTTCTTTTTTATAATTGTTAAAATGGTTTTGTCTCTTTAATTTGTTTGGTGGATTTTGCAAATACTCCGTCCACATTATGTATATTTGTAGGTCTGTGTTGCCCCGGGGTTTGACCTCTGTAGCGAACATTATTTATCTCACTAATTTATTTAGTTTTTGCATATATGCCATTCATCTTGTATACATTTGTAAATTTATCATTTAATAAATTCATTTAAACATTTTAATTTAAACTATATCATTATCTTCATACTATGTATATCCAATAAGAATTCATTAATTTATCATAATTTAAACTATATCATTATCTTCATACTATGTATATCCAATAAGAATTCATTAATTTATCAACTTACTCTTACTTAATGTCTTCATACTATGTATATCCAATAAGAATTCATTAATTTATCAACTTACTCTTACTTAATGGATTAATTTAAATTTCAAGGGTATTTTTGTCTACCAAAAGATTTTCCCGAACTCGTGCTTTTAAAGAGAGTATGATATGATATTATATGATATGATATTGTGAAGGGTGCATATTTGTTCTAGTGGATAAGTGGGATTAGGTTTATATACCATGGTTAGCAAAATGTGACATGACAAACAAATAAAACTGTACTACATTGAGTAGGACAATAATCTTTATGTATTAAAATATAACAAGAAGACAGTGAAATAATAACGCAAAAAGGAAATAAAGAACTAATAAGAAATAAACTTGACAAAAATTAATAATATATATTTGTCATTACAGTTATGAGAGGTAAAGTTTCGTGTACATGGTCTGGTAATCCTTCGTCATTTGACTGTGGGTTAAGAAAGAAGGGTTAAGGAGAAGGATTAACTTAGCAAGCTCTTCATAAGAAGTCAAAAATAATTTAATTCAGTTTGGATTTGATAGATGGTTAACTTTTTTATGTTAAAAAAAGTTAAGAAGGTTAGTTGCCGTAAATATCCTAAAATTGGCTATTAAAATATTCTTTTCAAAAGTTTCATTCTTTACCTCTAGAGATAATAAGACCTAACTCATCTTCTCAAGTGGATCTACTGGCCGCTCTAAATGAGGAGTTAACTAACTTTAACTCTTGTAGAGTGTTTGTTAACTCTTTGAGCACATTAACCCATTTGGAGGGTTAAGCAGGAGTTACACCCCTTTAATTCATCTCTTAACCCCTTGCCAAATAGGTCTTAGGGGGTCTTTGGTTCAATTTCTAGAAATTATAGGAAATGTTTTTCACTTAAAATATGATTTCCTTGTATTTATTAAAAAAGTTATAGAAAAAGTTTTGAGAAATCAAAAAGTACCAATTTTCTTGTTTTTTGTACTTTGCTTGTTTGGTTCAAAACAAGAAAATAGCTCATAACTTTATAGAAAATAACAAGATTTGGTAGGTTTTTAATTAAATATGGTATGTGTCAAATTTCTGGTGATTTCCTCTCATTTTGAGAGGAAATTGCTTTTTGTAAAATTTGGTAGGTTTTGATATTTTATAGAAAATATTTCTGCAAATTTTTTGTTGAACCAAACATAATTTACAGAAATCTCTGGAAAACTTTTAATTACAAATTTACCATTGTCAGATGTTTTGAGAAAAGTTTTCTCAAAAAGTGTGCAACCAAACAGCCCCTTATAGTAAAGTATGAGTAATCTAATCCAATGCATATATTGTTATTCATAAAGAGAGAAAATTTACAATATGCATTATCTACCATACCATATTTAATTTGTTTTCCATGTTATGGCCCTTACTTCTTAATGTCCTTGATGTTGCGCTACAACTTCGAAGGTACGAAGAAAAACCTTTAAGATGGTATAAGTACCAACCAAATTCAAATCCAATTGGACCTGTATTCAAGTAGAATTACATATATGGATCCTTTTCTTGTATGTATAAAGATAGGACAAGCCATATATACTTTGGGAAGTAGTTGTTGATTTGATAAATTTGTCGTTGATTTGATAAATTTCTAGAACTTTAATTCAAAATCATATACCAGGTCCAGCCCTAACCACTCACAGGCGCAGTTTTGGAATTTATTTTTCCGTTCTTGGTAGAAAAAGAAAATCAACAATTAACAGCAGCAATGTGTAAGAAAAAAGAATAACTCAGCCATCCATATTTTATTAGTTTTCTTGTTTACTATCATTTTTTTATATAATCAAATTCAAATATGGTGTTCTGGTTAAAATACAAAGAGAAAAATAGAATAAGAAATACATATATCGTGTAAAATTTTCATTTTGAGCCAAAATTTAGCGCTTAAACCAACTTTATTCCTGACCTAGTTTTTAGGTCAACATTTAGCCATTAAAACAATGTTATTCCAATCAAAAAAATAAAAAAAAAGAACAATTTTATTCCAGTCCATCCCCTTGGTTTGTTTCTTGCTGAAGTAGGATTAATTATGACTAAATTTTTAGGATTTGCCAAACACGCCCTTTGAGAACTATAAATTGATCTAAAAATTCCGTACGCTTAAAACACCAACTATCCAATATAAAGTTTCTTGAGAGTAACATATTAGTATATTAGACATCCGTTAAAAAAAATTATTTTATTTTATTTTTTTGAGTGGTTCATTTATGAATAGAAGACAACACCATGAACTTCCATGGTATCTCCTCTACCTCAATCTTCCCTAGTTATTGATGAAAACCTAGGCTTACTTCCACGTCAATGATAGCATTGAAGAGACACCATTGGGTCAAATCTTTAAGGATGCTGCGGTTTAACAGCAAATCGGATCTCCTTCAGGATCACAGTACGCATGGCTAACTACCAACTGTAAGAAACAAACACTAGGAAAAACATCCTCTTGGATTATGCAAACAAACATGTCATCATTTGTTTGAAGTTCCTTAAATTTATCATAAAATATCCTAAATATCATAGGGCTTTACTATCAAAGACCCTTCCTTTGTACTGTAGAATAAGTTCAAGCAACCTTGCCTATTACCATCAGGGTCTTCGGTTAGTAAAAGACAAGTGGTATGTACATACATGAGACTCAATCATTAGTCAGCTAGTATAAGTTATTTTAACATGGATTCTAATTAATAACATACCAAACAAAAACAAATATAAAAAATAGATGGTTATTGTCATTTAGCTTATAATTTATATTAGTCGTCTCGAAAGAAAGGTATATCAAAGAAAATCTAACATTTTTTATTAAGAAATGTATAATGGTGTTATTAGTATGAGCATAGATCAAACAAGAAGAAATATCATGGAAATTCCCTCCATTGTGTGCTTGATAGTAATGTTTTGGTTATGGTCAAGCGATTTGTTGTTCATTTGTGTTTTTTTCGTACGGGCTAAATTATTAGAGTTGGTTTTTTGTACACCGCTCTTACCAGTTTGGGTCTTTTTTCTAGCTTGGCAACATTTTGGTATTCTTCTGAGCCAAATGTGCAATTAGACTGCAAGCTTAAAAATAAAATTTTTTAAAAAAAACCCTCAATTGATAC